CTGACGGTGACAATGGGAAGCAATAAAATTTCATGAGAATTTGTTTAATATCAGTTGTTTTAGTTTGTTTAAATATCTGAGTTTCAGTTATTTAAGAAATATAGGAATGCGTAAGGCATTCACTACATCTTATTTGTAGAATATTTATGTTATTATTCAGTATTAGTAATGAGTCGGTAATTGTCACACCTTTGAAACAATGGGTAACATATCCGACAAAAAACCGAATAACTGAAAATATTAAAAAGAATAAAATAATCATATAATTAAGAAAAATGCAAAAGCATATAATACTTGGGCATGACAACGGGGCGGGGATGGTGCGGGTTTTGTAATCCCCAGCCACGGCCCCAGTCCCCGGCGGATACATGGATTAACATCCCGTCCGCGGTCAATCCCCCATGAAGAATACTTGTTATCAGTTTGAGTAACATCCCTGGCCGGTTCCCCATCCCCGATTTGAGTCTACGGGGGATCCTCGGCCCCAAGACCCATTTTAGCGGAGAATCCTCGTCCCTGTTCAAGTCAGGTGAACTGGGTTCCCCACTAAAATTCATAATAATCCATCTTAAATATCTTACAGGCCCAAAATGCTAAGCCCAATCAACATCTGTAAAACAATTAAATTGGTTGGGCCTAAATACAAAACTAATAATCTAAAAATGCGAGAATGACAAAATGCATAAAATAAAAACTACTTTAATGAATTTCTTTACTATAGTATTGTATTTTCAGTTTTTTTTATTATAGTAATGTATTTTCAAACTATTTATTATTAAGACATTGTACTTTAAACAATTTACCTATTATAGCATTAGATTACTTTTTGACTTAAATTTACCCATTATATCAGGTTTTCATGTCACCTCATTGTCCACGTAGGCCGTCCACATGTACTTTACCACCGACATGAAATATCTTATTAAAACATTGTATTTTCAACATCATTTTATTATAGCATCATCAGTTCCTATTATAGCATTGTATTTTTAGTTTAATATTTTATTATTTAGACATTGTACGTTTAATCAAACATGTTTACCTAAATTTAGTATTCGTTTCTAATTCTAAATTTTAAAATTAAAAAATAGTATCTCAAATTCTAGATTATAGCAATAATACCGGTAACCTTTTGATTTGAATTAAGATGATATTACACAAGTTACAAGTTTTCATGTCACGTCTTTGTCCACATGGTATGTCCATATGAATTTTTTTACTGATATGACAGTTCTTATTACAACATTATATTTTGAAAAAAAACTGAATTTACATATCATTTAATAAATGTATTAAATGAATTATATAATTTCTAAATTATTCATTAATATAACAATATAAAGAAAACTAGATAAAACACAATTTATCTCGCTAATATTTTTAAAAAAAATAGGTATTTTTTGAAAAAGAAAATAAATGCGTTTTCTTTACCAACAAAATNCAATATTAATAAAACTAGTAGAAGACAACTTATCTCGCTAATATTTTTAAAAAAATATGTATTTTTTGAAAAAGAAAATAATGTATCATATTTATTTAAAAAAACATTTTACTCTAAAATATTGAAATTACATGCAATTTAATAAGTAAAAGTAAAAAAAAAATTGAAAATTTTTTAATCGTAGCAATGAAAAGTGAAAATCATTAATAACAATTTGAAAGGTTTTTATTTTTATTTTTTATTTTTTTAGTCATGTCATCAAAATGATGTGTCTTCTACATCACCTCATTTAAGCCAATGAAGCCAAAAAAAAAAGTAAGGGTTAATCAGTTTTAATGGTAGCAGGTTATCCAATGCTATAATGAGTAGATTTTTCAAAGTATGATACCTTAATAAATAATAATTTGAAAGTATATTATTGTAATAAGAAAAAATGAAAGTACAGTACTATAATAAGGAAATTTATAAAAGTAGGTTTTTATTTCATGCATGTAACATATAAGGCATTCTATGTAATAACTGAAGTCTGTGGACTTTTATTTAGGTAAGTTTGTTGAATTAAAAGTGATATGACCAGAAAAAATAAAATAAATAAGTTTTTATAATATCTTTCATTGAATCTGCTCTAATAAATAAAGTCTGATAATAATTGTATAAAAACTTGCATACTGTATAAGTGCATGTTTGACAGATTCTCTAAAAAAAAACACAGAGTTTTGTTTTATATATTGCTCCAATAGATTCCATATCTTGTTCTCTAAAATAGAGAAAACTCAAAATACAGAGAATTCTCTAAAATTCTCTAATGAAAAGAGAAAAATGTTATTATAACATTTCTCACCAATTAGATTTATTTTTTAGTTTTAATATAAAGTTTTTTTTTTACTGTATTGAGATGATAAAATTATAGAATATTTTGATTTTACAGTTGATGTTGAAATTCTATAAAATACAGAAGCCGATGAAGTTGAATGTAAACTTTTTACAGATTTTAACTTTTAATTCTCTATTTTAGAAAAATTATAGATAATATGTTGGAGATAATCTTAGAGTATCTCCAACAGATTCTCCGAAATGAAGAATCAAATGTCAAAATTTTCAAAGAAAAATTACTTCCATTTCCAACAGCTTCTCCATTTTAGAGATTACAGTATTAATTATGCTAGAATGGTGCTCGTGCAATGCAGCGAGATACATATTCATTTAAATGTTTCATTTTATTTTTTGTCTCTATTGATATAATACGGTTTATGCGGTTTCGATAAATACAATATTTTTACTTTTGAATAAAAAATAAATTTGAAAAACTATATCGATATTAATAGCAAATTAACTATTTAAAAGTTCTCATTTTTTTGTACAATTTTCTTAATTCAATTTTTTATTATAATTTAGGGGGTGTTTGGGATTGCTTATTTTAGTTGTTTTTTGACTTATTCCAGTCTGGTACCGGTGATAAGCTAAATGATAGTGTTTGGATGAGGAAAAATAAAACTGTTTATACCAGTGTCAAACCGGTAATAAGCAGTTTTTGATAAGTTAATCCTTCATGACTTTTGAAAAACTGTTTATTACCAGTTTACTATTTTGACCCTATTTTATTAATGTTTGTTAATTATTTATCTTATTGATATAAATTATTAATCTTTTTGATATAAAATTTTGTCAATAATATGGAAGACTGTTATTTTTAGTCATTTTACATATATAAGCAAAATTTGTCAAACATTAAAAAACAACTTACTAAAAAACAACTTATCAGCTTATTGTTTTTTGGTACCGCTATAAACTAATCCAAATACTTCTTACAAAACTCCGTTTTGATACCACATAAGTTAATAAACACTTTTATAAAAAAACATAAGTTGTTTTAAATAAGCAATCCCAAACACCCCCTTAATTTAGGTATAATAGCAAAGTAATTTATTTTTAGCTTAACAATATAGTTTTTATAAATATAATTATTTTGTTAGAACTTAATGATTATCCTAATTATATTTTAGATTTTTGATATTTAAAATGAGATGTTTATACTATATTTGATTATGTTTATTTGCAGTTAGTTATATGAATTCAAAAAATGAAGCTTTAATAAGTTGTATTTAGTCACAATTTACTTGTAATTTTAAATTTTAAGTAATATGGATTAATACATAGTACTTCATGCATAAAAAATGATTTTTAAGAATTTTTTGTGAAATGCTTTATAATAGTAGAAGGGTACTTGTGCAATGCATCGAGACATATTTTCATTTCAATGTTTCGTTTTATTTTTTATCCATGTCGATATAAATATGATTTTATGTGGTTTTGAGAAAGCGGTAATGTTTTTATTTTTGAATTAAATACGAATTTGAAAATATCATATAAAATTTGTAAAAATATATCAATATTAGTATCAAATTAACTATTTAAAAGTTCTTGTTTGTATATTTTTTTAATTCAAATTTTTTATTATATTTTAATTTAACTTAATTTAGGTTTAATAATATATTTTTTATAAAGATAATAATTAAGTATTCAGTTAAAACTTAATAATTATCATAATTATATTTTAGATTTTTTATATTTTAAGATGAGATGTTTATCTTCTATTTAATTATGTTTATTCATAGCTAGTTACACGAATTCAAACATAAAGCTTTAATTTTAACATTTCTCATTAGTACAAAAAAATAAAAATTAATTTCTTTTTTCAAAATAATCATTTTTAAAAAGTTTTCCAAATATAAAAAGTTTCACCACCTTTTATATTTTCTTCATTTTAAAGAAGGTTTTAAAGAATCTGTTAAAATAAAAAATTTATAAAATTTTATTTTAAAAAATCTGTTAAAATTTTATTTCTTTGAGTGGATTTTTTTTTGGAATGCTAATGGCACCCCCTTTCATATCAGAATCAGGTCATTCAAGTATTGAGAATGTAAAAAGCATATATTGATATTGATGTGTGTGAAAAAGAAATTTATGGATAAGAATGCATTAAGCAATACATAGAGGTGCATTTAACCCAACTTTTTTTTAAGGGAGTCTTTGCTTTGACTTTGCTGAAATTCATGGTGAGTCAACACCTAATTTGTTTAATTTTGTGTGTAATTTATATTGATTTTCCCTCCAAAAACCATAATCTAATAGACTTTAAGAATATATATAGAAAGAGAAGAACGATCAAATACAAACAATTTAATTTGTATCAACCGTGTAAATCATCCTCATCCATCGATTTCGTTGTTTAATCTTATGAAAAATTTTCATGAAATTTTTTAATCTTGTGAAATTGTTTCATATAATACTTTTTTTAATGAAGTTGTTTTATATATGGTTATGAAACTTGTTCATATAATACTTAATAAAATTTTAATGAAATTATTTCATGTATTTCTCTAACATTAAAATAATAAGATGATGGTATCCATGATTAACAACCTCCACAATTAAAATGATTAATCAACCTCTCTTAATTACAAAAAAATAAACAAAATAAAAAATTATAATTAGTTAAATGAAATTTGTACAAGTAACTTGATTTACAAAGTAAATCTCCTCTACTCTTAAATAGCTATAGAACCAACAAACCTTTCTCTAAATATATAATATTTACATGTCTACAAATATTTTGTACAGTTTTCACCTCTGGTGAGGTTCTGAATCTTTGATATTTTGCTAGATTCGTTTTTACTGATAATCAAGATACTACTGAACCAATGCCTTTTTGGCATCTAATGGATCTCGACACACCCGGAATCTTTAAGTCGAAGAATCTTGACGCGCCCGGAATCTTTAAACCGAAGAATCTTGATGCACCAATGTCTGTTTTTTACGATTCCATTTCCATTAATAAGTTGTTTGTTGGTCTTTCTTGAACTTTATCGGCAAATAAGGACACACAAATGGCCGATGAATTTTTTCTCGTCACACGAGAACGACATACTCTTAATTGTTTTGGTGCATTTGGAGGTTCGATTTCTTCGAAACCGCTCGACGGAAACTCGTCCAAGTTCAACGAACACCTAAACGCTGAGATCTTTTTAGGTGTCCGATACTCGAAATGCCATTTCTTTGCGATCAAAGCCTGCAATTTTCACATTGAGGTTAATACACGTTTCAAGAAAACGTGACCCTAATCATCGTTCTTTTAGAAGAATAAACGACTTACGGCTTCTCTTATTGGTTTCGATACGTGAAATAGCCTCTTTAAATCTTCGTGATCTACTCCACATAGTATCTTAATCTGTTCGAAATTTCACACATAAACACCATAAGTGTGTGTAAAACCGATCAATCGTCTTCTCAACCCGAATTGTCATAAAAATAATCAATACCAGAGTCTAATCGTCACAAAATGACAAAATAACCACCTATTTCGCAGATACCATATATTATACCGATCATCATGAAAATAGGTTTGTGTATATATTTTTTGCGAAATAGATGGTTATTTTATGGATGAAGCTCCGATTTCGACCCTTTCTGTAATTATCTGTTTTCTTAAACCAGAGATATTTAGGTATACAACTTTAACTGAGATTTAGGTAAATTCATGACCTCTGATAGCTTCATACTCATCAAAAGGTCATAAATTTAATTAAAATCTCATTTAAGGTTGTAAACCTAAATATATCTGATTTTTATGGTTATACACCTAAACGCCTCGAACCATCTTTTATAGCCGCAAATTTCTCGTGTTTTTCTTTACGTTATCTAGGTATATAAGAGTATCTTCAACCGTTATGCTATTTTAGAACTTTTGTAAATTTAAAAGAAGTTTACTCTTACAACTATGTTAAAATCTCCTATAAAATATAGAAAAACAGAAAAGGGTAAATTGTATTACAAAATTAACATACTCTGACTTGATTCTTATTTTGGGAAACGTACTTTCAAAACTTTCATTTAGGTATCTAAGATGTAAAGTTTTAAACATTTAAGTATTCGGATAACCGGTTGAAACATTAACGGTTATCATACTGATGTGACGAGTGATGGAATAAAATTGGGTTGAATAGCAAATAGTACTAAATTAGATACTACACCAGCATGGTAACCGGTTAATGCTTCAACCGCTTACCCGGATACTTAAATAAAAGTTTTAAACATTTAAATACCCGAATAACCTGTTGAAGTATTAACGTTCATCATAGTGATGTAGCAAGTGATAGGATAAAATTGGGTTGAATAGCAAATAGTACTGAATTGGATACTACACCAGCATGGTAACCATGGTAACCGGTTAATGCTTCAACCACTTACCCGGATACTTAAATATTTAAAACTTTACATCTTAGATATCAAAATGAAAGTTCTAAAAACATGTTACCAAAATAAGAACCAAGTTAAATTACGTTACTTTTTCATGCAACTTACCCAACAGAAAATATAGAAAAAAATTATAGCATATCTATTATACGGTAGAAATGTTATGTTAATTGAAGTGCATACCTATTAAAAAACTACTTTTCAATAAAACTATATACCTAACCAAACCAATTGTTTTTTATCTAACAGTATAGGAGTCATTAACCTTCTGTTTGATCTAACGGTACGTGAGTCATTAACCTCTTAAAAGGTCAGGTCAAAAGTTCAAACCTCATCGAAGGTGGAAAGGGGGTGTGAGTTTATTTCTTCTGTTTACCGTATATAAATATATATACAATTTATGAAGGAATTGTTCAAAGTGGATTGAAATTGAATTGAAGAAACTTACCAAGATTTCTTGAGGAAGAGCTTGAAGCAATGATCTTTGACTACAAAAACCAGAATTGAGTTCTAAAAACTGCTTTTTTGTGGGTTTACAAACATCAATCGAATCGATATCGTTCAAAATCAGAATCCTTTTTCTACCAAATGAATTGGTTCGTTTTACGAGCCCTAACCCTACATTCTTCCCCATTGCCATTCTTGCTCCTGATATCAAACATCAAATGAACAGTTAATGAGATATACGAAATCACGAAAAACCCAGATGAGATATACGAAGTTAATAAAAACCCAGATGAAATATACAAAATTGAGAAAAACCCAGATGAGATATACAAAATTACGAAAAACCCAGATGAGATATACGAAATCACGAAAAACCCAGATGAGATGTACGAAGTTAAGAAAAACCCAGATGAGATATACAAAGTTAAGAAAAACCCAGATGAGATATACAAAATTACGAAAAACCCAGATGAGATATATGATGTTACG